AACAAGCAAGCTAGCAACGGAAAGCTAGCAAGCTAGCAACACATATATAGCAAGGTAGAAACGCATATTTAGCATGCTGGCAAGCTAGCAACTGAAAGCTTGCAAACTAGCAAAGGAAGGCTAGCAAGGTAGCAACGCATAGAGAGCAAGCTTGCAAAGCAAATCTAGCAAGCTAGATCGCAATACTTGGAAGCTAGCAACGCAAGGCTAGCAAGCAAGCAACGCAAAGCTGGCAAGCTAGAAACACATAGCTGGCAAGCTTGCAACACAAAGCTTGCAAACTAGCAACGCATATCCAGCAAGCTAGCAACGCAAAAATAGGAAGCTAACAGCGCAAAGCAAGCAAGCTAGAAACGCAAAGCTAGCATGCTAGGAACACAAAGCTAGCCACCTAGCAACGGAAAGCCAGTAAGATAGCAACGAAATCTAGCAAGTTAACAACACAAATCTAGCAAGCTAGCAAAGCAAACATAGCAAGATAGCAACGCAAAATTTGCAAGCTAGCAACGGAAACATAGCAAGTTTGCAACGCAAAGCTAGCAATCTAGAAACGCAAGGCTAGCAAGCTAGAAACGCAAAGATTGCCACCTAGCAACGCTAAGCTAGGAAGCAAGAAACGCAAAGCAAGCAAGCAAGCATTCAACGCAAATTTAGCAAGCTAGCAACTCAAAGCTAGCAGGCTAGAATCGGAAAGCTAGCAAGGTAGCAATGCATAGCTAGCAAGCTTGCCTTGCAAATCTAGCAACCTAGAAACGCAAAACTGGCATGCTAGCAACGCAAACTGGCAAGATAGCAACGCAAAGGTGGCAAGCTACCAACCCATATCTAGAAATCTAGCAAGCTAGCAACGCAAAGCTAGCAAGCTAGCAACGCAAAGATTGCAAGCTAACAACGCAAAGCTAACAAGCTTGCAAAGCAAAGTAGCAATCTAGCAACGCAGAGCTAGGAAGATAGCAACGCAAAAATTGCCAGCTAGCAACACAAAGCTAGCAAGCTAGATCGCAATGCATGCAAGCTAGCAACGGAAAACTACCAAGATAGCAACGCAAAATAAAAAAGCTAGCAACGAAAAGCTACTAAGCTAGCAAACACAAAGCTACCAAGCTAGCAAAGCAAAGCTAGCAAGCTAGGAACGCAAAGCAAACAAGACAGCAACTCAAAGATATCAAGCTAGAAACGCAAATCTAGCAATCTAGCAAGTTCACCAACTCAAATATAGCAAGCTAGAAACGCAAAGCTAGCAAGTTACCAAAGCCAATCTAGCAATATAGCAACGCAAATCTACGAAGCTATCAACGCAAAGATAGCAATTTAGCAACGCAATGTTAGGAAGCTAGCAACGAAATATAGCATGCACGAAACGCAAAGCAATCAAGCAAGCTACGCAAAGCTACAAAGCTAGCAACGGAAAGCTAGCAAGTCAGCAACGCCAAGTCAGCAAATTAGCCACGCAAATCTAGCAAGTTAGCAACGAAAAGCTGGCAAGTTGACAATGCAAATAGGCAAGCTAGCAATGCAAAGCTGGCAAGCTAACAACTCAAAGCTGCAAGCTAGCAACGCAAAGCTAGGAATCTAGCAACGCAAAGCTAGCAAGCTAATAACACAATTCTAGCAAGCTAGCAACGCATATCTTGCAAGCTAGCAAGCTGAAAACTGGAAGCTAGCAAGCTAGAAACTCAAACCTGGCAAGCTAGCAACGCAAAGTTGGCAAGCTAGCAACGCAAAGCTGTCAAGCTAGAAACGCAAAGCTGGCAACCTAGCAAAGCAAACCTGGATAGCTGGCAACGCATAGCTAGCAAGCTTGCAACTCAATGCTAGGAAGCTAGCATCGCAACGCTAGCATGCTAGCAAAGCAGAGCTAACAAGCTAGGAACGCACATATAGAAAGCTAGCAAGCCAGGAACGGAAACAACAAGCTAGCAACGCAAAGCTGACCAAATAGCAAAGCAAAGCTAGCAAGAGAGAATCGCAAAGCAGTCTAGATAGCAACGCAAAGCTGACAAGCTAGCAACGCAAAGCTACCAAGTTATCAACGCATGTCTAGCCATCTAGCCAGCTAGCAACGGAAATTTATCAAGCTTGCAACGCAAATCTAGCAAGGTAGCAACGATAATCTATCATGTTAACATTCTAGCGACGGAAAGTTTGGAAGCTAGCAACGCAAAGCTAGGAAGCTAGCAACGCAATGCTAGCAATCTAGCAAAGCAAAGCTAGCAAGCTTGAAACGCATATCTAGAAAGCTAGCAAGACAGCAAAGAAGGCAAGCAAGCTAGCAACGCAAAGCTGTCAAAATTGCAAAGAAAAGCTTAAAAGCTAGAAACGCAAAGCTCTCTAGCTAGCAACGCAATGCTGACAAGATAGCAACGCAAAGCTAGCAAGGTAGCAACGCTTATCTAGCCCTCTAACAAGCTAGCAACGGAAATGTAGCAAGCTTGCAACGCAAAGCTAGCAAGGTAGCAACGCAAACCTAGCATGCTAGCAAGCTAGCAACGGAAAGCTAGCAAGCTAGCAACGGAAAGCTAGAAAGCTAGCAACTCAAAGCTACCAAACTAGCAACGCAAAGCTAGAATGCTAACAACGAAAAGCAAGCAAGATAGCAACCCAAAGCGAGCAATCTAGCAAGCTAGCAACGCAAAGATAGCAAGCTAGCAAAGCAAAGCTTGCAAGCTAGAAACGCAATGCTGGCAAGATAGCAACGCAAAGATGGAAAGCTAGCAACGCGTATCTAGCAAGCTAGCAACGCCAAGATATCAACCTAGCAACGCAAATCTAGAAAGCTATCAACGCAAAATTAGCACGCTAGCAACGGAAAGCTAACAAGCTAGATCGCAATGCTAGCAAGCTAGCAACGCAAAACTACCAAACTAGCAACGCAAATCTAGTAAACTAGCAACGCAAAGCTATCATGCTCCCAACGCTTATCTAGCACTCTAGCAAGCAAGCAGCGCAAAGCTAGCAAGCTAGCAATTCAAGCAGGCAAGATAGAAACGAAAATTTGGCAAGCTAGCGACGCAAAGCTGGCAAGATAGCAACGCATATTTAGCAAGCTAGCAACGCAAAGATAGCAAGCGAGCAACGCAAAGCTGGCAAGCTAGCAACGCAACGCTACCAAGGTTGCAAAGAAAAGCTATCAAGCTAGCAACGAAAGCTAGCAGGCTAGCAAACCAAAGGTAGCCAGCTAGCAACGCCAATCTAGCAAGGTAGCAACGCAAAGCTAGGGAGCAAGGAACGCAAAGCAAGCAAGCATGCAACGCAAAGCTAGCATGCTAGCAACTCAAAACTTACAAGCTAGCAAAGGAAAGCTAGCAAGGTAGCAACGCATAAGCTAGCAAGCTAGCCACTCAAATCTAGCTAGCTAGAAACGCAAAGCTGGAAAGCTAGCACCGCACAGTGGCAAGCTAGGAACCTAAAACTGGCAAGCTAGCAACGGAAAGTTGGCAAGCAAGCAACGCAATGCTAGCAAGATAGCAACTCATATGTAGCAAGCTAGCAACTAGAATAGGAATGCTAGCAAGCTACCGAAGCCAAGCTTGTAAACTAGCAACGCTAACCTGGCAAGCTAGAGAGGCAATGCTGGCAAACTAGCAACGCAAAGCTGGCAATCTAGATAATCAATATAGGCTAGCTAGCAACGCAAAGGTGGCAAGCTAGCAACACAAATCTTGCAATCTAGCAACGAAAAGATAGCAACTTAGCAACGCAAATCTGCAAGCTAGCAAGCAAGTAACGCAAAGCTAACAAGCTAGCAACGCAAAGCTAGGGAGTTAGCAACTCAAAGCTAGCAAGCTAGCAGCGCAAATCTAGTAAGATAGCAACGCAAAACTATCTAGCTAGCAAAGCAAATCTAGCAATCTAGCAAGGTAGGAACACAGAGCTAGCAAGCGAGCAACGCAAAGCTAGCAATATAGCAACGCAAATCTAGCAAGATAGCAACGTAAAGATATCAAACTAGCAACGCAAAGCTAGCAAGCTAGCAACGCAAAGCAAGCAAACAAGAATCGCAAAGAATGCAAGCAAGCAAGCAACGCAAATCTAGCAAGATGGCAAAGCAAATCTATGAAACTAGCAAGGCAAAGCTAGAAACCTAGCAACTTGAAACTAGCAAGCTAGCATCGCAAAGATAGCAAGCTAGAAACGAAAAGCTAGCAAGCTACTAACGCAAACTTAGGAAGATAGCAACGCAAAGCTGGCAAGCTAGCAAATCAAAGTTAGCAAGCTAGCAAATCAAAGCTAGCAAGCTAGCAACGCAATCCTAGCAAGCTAGCAACGTAAATCTAGCAAGCTACTGTAATCGTTCCCGGCACATAACCACACTTAGTAATTATCATTAATAAGTATTCCCATTACTTCGAATAACTACAGCGAAAGGAAAGGTACTTGTATGTACCATCATTGCAAAGACCCCACACCTGCACGGGTTCAAACACTTCAACCGTTCGAATAAGATTAGGGGATTAGTAGTAGCATCAAGTCCACAGGTGCGACGCTCACCTGTTTTCAGTAAGCAGGAACTAGGAAACAGAGACATAAAGGGTAGAAATCGCGCCTCTCCAGTTCTCACACTGCTAGCGAATCTTGGGATTTAAGCCCGAACACCTGTTCTGAGATTTCCTACAAATAAATCTTAAATAAGCAGGTCAAATTGTCATCTGCCTCTCAGCCAACCACTTATGACCATTGGACCTCATTGGTTACTCTTGGAAGTTGTAGCACCCTCTCCAAAAGTGACGCCAATGGGATTCAAAGAAAGAACCCCCGCCGGGGAGGAGCTATCAGTTAAATTACAGTATAAATCACATTGTTCTTAATCGTAGTGAGTAGTGACTAAACGCGGGCTCTCAACGCAGTCTCTTGAGTAGTCTCTCAAGTTTTTCTCAAGTCATTTCTCTCTGGTTAGAAGTTAACACTTACCGAACTCTGTACTGTCGGAATAAGAGCAGCCCAGAAGTTGTTGTGTAATCTATAGTTAATAAATTCAGTGTTTACTCTTACATTACAAATACATTAAGTGTTGTGTATCTTTGTGATCACTAAGTGTCTTCACAACCCCTATTCAGTGAGTCTAAGTCCAGGATCCCAACGGCCTTCCCCTTCGACCTGAGGCCCGTAAGCCCTGAGAAAGAATCCAGCTCTACCCATCTTTACCCACTAATCCCACTGTCCAGGAGACTAGCGATTCACCCTCACCTTTCATCCATCCTAAAGCCCCTGAGAAACTGCCTAGGAATCGGACCCGTGATCGCAGCCGGACTCCCGCATCATCAGTGACTGACATCAATAGTGGTGCAGGTCAAGTGATTAGTGAAAGGTAAGACAACTAACCTTGAACAGACCCCAAGAAACAATTACAAAGTGGAGCCCGAAGTAAGGGCGAGTAAAAGAACAGTTACAACGTGGCGCATCCAACGTAAAGGGCCTGAAGTCTCAGCGAAGAAGGGTGAAGCCAGGAGGAGCAGCTAACACCAACTACAAACACCGAAGGAAACGGAAGACCCCCCCACAACACAACCCCCCACAACACCACAACCCCGACAACAGCAACGCCAACGGCAACAACGAGACGAGGACAACCCGGACGGAGCCACAGCCTACTCAACAAACACAGCAACCGACATCACGCACTTGCGAAGGTCAGTAAGAGCACAATGTCTAACAAAGAGTTAAGAAACAGAACAATAGGGACTGTAGGAGTGGAGAGTGATTCCGCGGCCGGGGAGACCGAGTTCGATTGGCCGTGCGGACAATCAGAAACATTCGGACAAGAGTGTGTAGTCGATAATGGTCCCACCCCGTCAATTACAGCAAACCCCCTAGAAATCAGAGCAGAGGACGGGAGTTCAAATCCTGCAGTTAACCCTGACACCGCAGAAAAAACTGTAATAAAAAGCATAGCCAACGAAGTAAGTCAGCCTGTCACTCAGGCCATGCTACAAAATTTGTTTGCAGAAGTGCTCAAAGCTATCTCAAGCAGTAGCGACAAACTGCAGGAGGGTGTTAGCGCACAAGTTAGTTCATTACAACAGTCGCAGGAGAGTGTTAGCGCACAAGTTAGTTCAGTACAACAGTCACAGGAGAGTGTTAGCGCACAAGTTAGTTCAGTACAACAGTCACAGGAGAGTGTCAGCGCACAAGTTAGTTCATTACGACAGTCACAGGAGAGCGTTTGTGCCCAAGTTAATTCCTTGCAACAAAGTGTTGAGGAAAAGATATGCAAATTGCAGGAGAGTGTCCGAGCTGATTTTAAAGTAGAGCATGACAGACTCATACAACGTTTCGAAAGAGAGCAAGAAAGGGTCAGCAAAGAGTTCACAGACAAACTCCGAACCCAAAGCGAGAAACTCACCTCAATGGTAGGGCAGCTCCGGTCTGAAACGGAAACTGAGCTAATAGTAGCTAGACAAAAATTTGCTGAACTAGAGGAGAAAGTTAGCTCACAAGCCACCCAAACGAAAAACAACACAAACACTCTCTCTGTGAAATTGACAGAAGTCAGGAACGACTTCGAGAAAAGGGTTACCGACGAAATAAAAATGGTGAGAGACGAAGTCACTCTCCGTACTGATGAATTAAACAGAGAAAGGTCGCAGGAAGCAGAACAGGTACAAAACAGGATAGACAGGATAGACTCAACCATAAACAAGATACAAAACCAGCTATCTTGCCAAGCTGACGCAACTAGATCAAGTAGTATACCTCAGAATGATGAGAATTGTGAACCTGTTCCGCTACCCCAAGCCAACCGAGTACTTTCACCACACGCCACCACGTGTAGTGATAGTACCGGACTGTGTTCATGTAAACTGAGTTCATGTGTAATATGCATGCATGAGGGTGATAATGTAATGCGAGTGAATGCCCCTGTACGCCAACATGTCGCAAGCAATCCATTACCTATTTCCGATTTTTCGCTCCCTCAGTTTGACGAAGGTACCGGGATCAACCCCGTGTACTACCTCAGACAGCTGGACGAATTCATGACAGTGAGAAACATCCCCCAGGCTCACCAGCTGTCGATAGCATGTAAATCCATCACAGGTTGTTTAGGCAGACAATGGATCGAAGCAATTCGCCATAATCTAGCGGATTACGCAGCTTTCAGAACTAATTTCTTGAACGCATGGTGGTCTTCGGCCCAGCAGAGTTTAGTCAAATGTAAGCTGTATCAATCTAAATATAGCCGCCAATCCGGCCTGTCGCTTTCAGCGCACTTCCTGAAACATGCCACTTCCGCGTTTTACCTTGACCCGAAGCCCACTGAATCTGAAGTCATACATGCGATAATCCCTCATTTCCCGATAGCAATCCAACGGATATTGCTAGGAACGAACCTAGGTACGGTAGCAAAGGCCCTTGACGTGTTGAAACGAATAGAAATCATGGAGAACCAGGAAGGATGCGACCAGTACGATTTGCCCCCTCACCAAAAACAACCTGATCCTGACCGAAGGAATCAACCCCCCCGAGGCCACTATTACCAACGGCACGACCAAAGGAACGTACGGAATGTGCAGATGAGCCCTTCCCGACGCAATGACTACTACAGCGGCTCATCTAGACATCAGAACAATAGACATCAATCAAGGAACAACTCACCCACTGGGAGTGCCGCGAGACAAACTCTAAATCCCCACGCCCCTAATTTCAACACCAACCCTGGGCGCAGAGAAGAAGGGCATTCTAGTGCAAACACGGCCCGACCGTTAAACTAGAAAGGAGCGCCATTACGGACCGGACAGCACTCCACGATAAAACCAGTAATTCAGAGGTCCCCACAAAATTCACAGGTAGTAATGAGTCAAGACGAGAGGAGAGATACACAGAGAACATGACGTCACAGCCCATGATTTTCTTTATCAACGAAGAAGACCTGGTAAAGTGTCCCACCGTCAAAATCTCTTTGAGCCCGGAATTACAATTAGACGCTATACTGGATTCAGGATCCGAGGTAAACATACTGCACGAACGAATCCTATCGGAATTGACCAAGAGCGGAGTTCGAGTCCCGACTCTGCCTATCCAAAATGTTGTCTTAGTTACCGCCTTCGGAAGGCGCAGTAATAAAATCAAGCAGCAAGTCCTTTTAGAATTTAGCATCGGCGAAGACTTGTTCGAAGCGGTCTTCTTGATCACCGCACAGCTGGCTGGTGCTGCCATTATCGGTTGCCCAATCTTACGTGAACATGGCCTCACGCTAGACTTCAGTAAAAGCGTGATTAGATACGCTAGGGACGGCGTGGTTAGAGAACTTGAATTCAAGCAAGTGCCTGGAGTACAGGCAGGTGGGAACAGTGAAGGTAAACCTAAAGGCACCCCACTACCGTCAGCCAGATTCATGGGTCAACGAACCACTCGCACAGCTGACTGCACTGTGACCCACACCCTCCCAGCTGATCCTGGTAAGCAAGCCCAGCCCGACCGCTCCAGCGAAGCGAGTACTCTCAGTCAAGTTAATTTATGCGCTGCGGGAACCCGAGTTGGTTCAAAAGGCCCTAGAAAGCCTGAATGTGAATTAGGTAAAAGTACCTCAATTCAGGGCATTGAGTGTGACCCTTTTATAGATAGTGATATTGAATGCCAAGAAGGATCATTCCTTGACTTGTCTGGTGCCGGGAGCACAGACAACTTTATTGATGACGCAGCAAATCAAGCCTATGAGAGAGCACTGCATTCGTACTGGAACTCCCCATCCACCTCCCAATCCTCCGAACCCAGGACCCCAGACTCGAGGTCACTGCAAAAATCAGATCTAGCTGACTTGATTGAATCAAATGTTCGCCTTGACCGACCACAGAAAGACAATTTATATGCGTTATTAGTTAATTATCTAGAATTCATGACTGCGAGGCCCGGTAAATGTAAGCTGTTTAGCTACAAGTTTCACGTGAACACCACTCAGCCTACTGTTGCTTATTCCAGGCCAGTACCCTTCGCACTCCGACCGGCCATTAGGGAACAAATCGATCAATTCATTAAGGACGATATTTTGGAAGTTAGTGATTCACCCTTCATTAATCCCCTCTCTGTGGTGCATAAGGAAGGAAAAAAGATTAGAATCTGCGTAGACGCAAGAAAGATCAACCAATTCACCGAACCAGATCGGGAAAGAGTGGCCCCGATGCATGAATTATTACAGCGATTCAATGGAGCTAGATTCATGACATCACTAGACCTTACTTCTGCATATCTACAGGTACCTTTACATGAAGAATCGCGGAAATATACCGCATTCCTCTTCGACTCTGCCTGTTACCAGTATAAACGCGTGCCATACGGATTTCGAAACTCCTTGGCAGGGTTTGTCAGAGCATTAAAATTAGCGTTAGGCAATGGCACCGATGAATATACTGTGTTTTATTGTGACGACATATTAGTCTACTCGAAGACATTCGATGAACACCTGACTCACTTGGACACCGTGATACGACGACTCACTGAGGCCGGCTTTACCCTAAACGCCTCTAAGTGTCTCTTTTGTCGAGCAGAGGTGACTTTCCTGGGACACCGAATTGATGAACGTGGTGTATCTCCTGATCCGGATAGGATAGCCGCCATATTGCATTATCCTATGCCTAGGGACTGTAAACAACTCAGGCAATTTCGATAGAGGGATCTAAATCTGACCCCCGTTAATTATTCGAGCTCAAGTAACGATGTGAGCATATGCTTAGGTAGAAAGCCAGCGGATCCAACGGAAAATGGCAGAAGGAAAGAGAGCGGATAATACCCATACCCAACTCCCGCTCCGGTGAGGAAACCCAACATGACCCCTTAACCATGGCATTTGGCAGTGTGAATGGAAATTTGTGTATTAGAATGAACGATATCAATTGCTATAAATTAGGATTTAGATGTCAATTAAACTGGCTGAACCAGTTCACAATCATCAAGTGCTCTACATGAAAATAAGTGCAGTTATTATACAGTGCAATGAAAAAAAACCGTGTGTTACGATACGATGAGTGAAGTGACCCAAGAAAGCCCTTACAAAGAGAAGTGAGAAAGAGACAGAGCATGTTATTGTGTAACCAACTTGAATCACCAAGACAACCACTGTATTAATGTCTTACTAAGGTCAAAAGAACTAGTTAGTTTAACTGGACTGCCTACTTCAGGTGTCTCTACCGCCTGGCATTAATTCTAGCATAAGTAATTAAAACTTATTGTAAACTAATCATAATTATACTTAATAAGGTTAAATTTAGCGGCCTACAAGAGAAATTCTGGCTCACTAAGGAGTTCTTGAGTCAAAATTTATCTTGGGAGACTGTAATCGTCTCCGGCAAATAGCCACACTTAGTAATTATCATTAATAAGTATTTCCATTACTTCGAATAACTACAGCGAAAGGAAAGGTACTTGTATGTACCATCATTGCAAAGACCCCACACCTGCACGGGTTCAAACACTTCAACCCTTCGAATAAGATTAGGGGATAAGTAGTAGCATCAAGTCCACAGGTGCGACGCTCACCTGTTTAAAGTAAGCCGGAACTAGGAAAACGGAGACATAAAGGGGTAGAAATCGCGCCTCTCCAGTTCTCACGCTGCCAGCGAGTCTTGCGATTTAAGCCAGAACACCTGTGCTGAGATTTCCTACAAATAAATCTTAAATAAGCAGGTCAAATTGTCATCTGCCTCTCAGCCAACCACTTATGACCATTGGACCTCATTGGTTACTCTTGGAAGTTTTACCACCCTCTCCAATAGTGACGCCAATGGGATTCAAAGAAAGAACCCCCGCCGGGGAGGAGCTATCAGTTAAATTACAGTATAAATCACATTGTTCTTAATCATAGAGAGCAGTCTCTAAACGCAGTCTTTAAACGCGGGCTCTCAAAAGAGTGACTAAACGCGGGCTCAAGGGAGTCTCTGATTAGAAGTTAACCTTACCGAACTCTGTACTGTCGGAATAAGAGCAGCCCAGAAGGTGTTGTGTAATTGATAGTTAATAAATTCAGTGTTTACTCTTACATTACAAATACATTAAGTGTTGTGTATCTTTGTGATCACTAAGTGTCTTCACAACCCCCATAACGTGTGTCTAAGTCCAGGATCCCAAAGGCCTTCCGTTTCGAACTGAGGCCCGTAAGCCCTGAGAAAGAATCTAGCTCTACCCGTCTTTACCCACTAATCCCACTGTCCAGGAGACTAGCGATTCACCCTCACCTTTCTTCCATCCTAAAGCCCCTGAGAAACTGCCTATGAATCGGACTCGTGATCGCAGCCGGACTCCCGCATCATCAGTGACTGACATCAGTAGTGGTGCAGGTCAAGTGATTAGTGAAAGGTAAGACAAATAACCTCGAACAGACCCCAAGAAACAATTACAAAGTGGAGCCCGAAGTAAGGGCGAGTGAAAGAACAGTTACACTACCAAGCTAGCAACACAAAGCTACCAAGCTACCAACGCATATCTAGCAAGCTAGCAACGCAAAGCTTTGAAGCTAGCAAAGCAAAGTTGGCAAGCTAGCAACGCATATCTAGCAAGCTAGCAACGCTAATATAGCTAGCTGGCAAAGCAAAGCTAGGAAGTTAGCAACGCAAATCTAGCAAGCTGGCAACGCAAATCTAGCAAGCTAGCAACGCAAAGATAGCAAGGTAGAAACGCAAAGCTTGCAAGCTAGATCGCAAAACCTTGCAAGCAAACAACGCAAAGCTACCAAGCTGGCAACGCAAAACTAGCAACCTAGCAACGCAAAGTTAGCAAGCTAGCAAAGCGAATCTTCCAAGCTAGCAAAGCAAAGCTAACAAGTTAACAATGCAAAGCTAGAAAGCTAGCAACGCAAAGCCAGCAAGATAACAACGCAAAACTCTCAAGATAAAAACGGAAATCTAGCAGTTTAACAAGCTAGCAACGCAAAGCAACAAGCTAGCAACGCAAAGCTAGAAAGATTCCAAAGCCAAGCTAACAAGTTAGCAACGCAAATCTACGAAGCTAGCAACGCAAAGCTAGCAATATAGCAACGCAAAGCTAGGGAGCTAGCAACTAAATATGGCCAGCAAGAAACGCAAAGCAAGCAAGCTACGCGAAGCTAGCAAGCTAGAAACGCAATGCTAGCTACGTAGCAACAGAAATCTAGCAAGCTAGCAATCTATCAACGCAAAGCTAGCAAGCTAGCAATCTATCAACGCAAAGCTAGCAAGCTAGCAATCTATCAACGCAAAGCTAGCAAGCTAGCAATCTATCAACGCAAAGCTAGCAAGCTAGCAATCTATCAACGCAAAGCTAGCAAGCTAGCAATCTATCAACGCAAAGCTAGCAAGCTAGCAATCTATCAACGCAAAGCTAGCAAGCTAGCAATCTATCAACGCAAAGCTAGCAAGCTAGCAACGCTAATCTAGCAATCAAGAAACGCAAAGAAAGCAAGCAAGCAAGCAACGAAAATCTAGCAAGAAAGCAAAGCAAAGTTATCAATCAAGCAAAGCAAATCTAGCAAGTTAGCAACTGGATGTTAGCAAGCTAGCAACGCAAACAAGTAAGCTAGGAACGCAAAGCTAGCAACGCAAAGCTAGCAAACTAGCAAAGCAAAGATAGCAAGACAGAAACGCAAAGCTAGAAAGCTACCAACGCAAACCTAGCAAGCTAGCAACGCAAAGCTGGTAACCTAGCAAGGAAAGATGGCAAGCTAGCAACGCAAAGCTAGCAAGCTAGCAAATCAAAGCTAGCAATCTAGCAACGCAAAGCTAGAAAGCTAGCAACGCAAATTAGCAAGCTAGCAACGCA